AAAAGTTTTGAGACATTAGATTGAAACATAATGGAGCGAGTAACATTAAATTGATGTCTGTTTTCTCTTTTGATTACCCTATTTTGTTGAGGAGTGTCGGTACATGAGCTATGATGAAGGATGCCCTTACCAAGATTTTTTTTAATATATAGTTAAAAATTCACGACTATTTTCAGTCTGAAGGATTTGATTAAGAGTTTTGAATTGGGTCAAAATGAAGTGGTGGAAGTTTTTGAAAGTGATAACAACATCAAAGTTATCTTTTAAAATATAAACCCATGTCATCCGAGTGTGGTCTTCAATTAAAGTTAGAAACCACTTTTTATTGGTGTAGCTGAGAGTGTGAGAGGGTCTACATAAGTCACTGTTAATAAGAGAGAAAGGAGCGGAATACGTGTAATTGTGGGGTGGATAAGGAACATGATGGTAAATACGATGGCGTTTAGCTAACTGATAGGTTTCACATTTGAAATTAGAAGTATTTTTATGAGTAAACATCAACAAATACAATTTTTTTTATGCTGGAAACTAAGGTGACCCAAATGACAGTGTAACAACGTAATAAGACATTCAATGGATTGAGATAAACTGCAATTACTGGGTAGAGTGTTCTGGTTCTCTATCATTTCTCTTAAGAGAATTAGAGGATTCCAGATTGTTCTAGTTAGAGGCTGGCTATATCTTGTTGAATTCATATGCTGTAGCGAGACCCGTGGCAGGTGAAGATTTAGTCGAAGATTTGGATTCAGGTTTCCCGTGGAGCTTCCAACACTTATCACGAGTGTGGTTGGATTTGATATAGGATTACCATCCCGTGGTTGAGCACTATTAGAAACTAAGGCGGATACTTGCAAAGACGGCTTGGAAGCATCAAACATGATAAGTCTAGGACTCTCTTCACAACGAATCTCAGTGAAAGTAGCGCGACTAGAAGGAAGAGGATTCCGATGAAGGATATGGTCCCGAATGTCGTCAAGATCTTTGTTGAGGCATGTCAAAAATTGGAACATGCTGCTCTTCTCTAAAATTTTCTGAAAGAGAGATAGGTCGGCCGGAGATTCTCAAGCGTAGTCATAATATATATCACATTCCATCCATAATGCAACTAAATCATTGCAGTATTAGGTTACCGTCCTGGATCCTTGTTTTGCATCCCAATTTTTTTTATACACCTCATAGAGTTGGCTGGAATTCTTTGCGTCCGAGTTGGTATCACGAATTGCCGTCTAGAAGGCACTAACAGAAGTAAGTAACATATATGATCGGCCAATTGAAGTCTCAATGGAGTTGATCAGCCACGACATGAACATGAAATTCTTCACTTTCCAAGCTTCATACGTCGGGTCAGTGTTTAGAGGTTCACGAATCATACCAGTGAGATGATCAAATTTTCTACGCCCTTTGATGAACAATGACGTAGATTATTGATCATTGCAGAAAGTTACTGCTGTTTAGTTTATGGGTTGTGCACAAAAAGTTCATTTTGTTTTCCTGCACTCTGGTCTGCAGAGGAATTAATATTGGAATTCATCCGGAATCAAGGACATCTTATGATGAAGATTCAATGTTAGAGGAGTCCGTCGTGATTTCGATTGAGCCAAACGAGATGTTAGGTTGTCGAGACATCTTATGGTTCCAGTTGCTGGAAGGATATAGCCTCTGGAAGGGGTCCCGTTGGACTATATCTCTTGGCTGACTGGAAGAAGGTTCCAGGAGGGGCTTCGGGAAACCTGGTGGGAGACCGGTCAGTTAGGCAATGTTTCTAGTGGCTGGAAGGTGCCCCTGGTGATCATAACAGAGGTTCTAGATGGGCATCCGGTCGGCTAGGAGGTCAGTTGGTGGCTGTGAAATTTGGGGCAGCAAGATCTGGGTGGCTCCGACAAACTTGAAGGGTCTGGAACAGAAGCAAATATTGGGTATGTAATACACACATGTAGATTCTTTGAAATGAGGAGAGAGAAAGAGCTTTCTATCTCCACATTTCAACGTAATCCGTAAATGCGGAATATGCAACAAATATTTTTTCTTGGAAGAGACGAGACTTGAAGCAGACCTAGCCAGTGGGAGAGAAGAGACGAGTCCTAGACCGACTAACTGGCGACAGTTAGGTTAGGACCATTGCTCTGATGCCATGTTAGAATAGAATCAGGGTGATTTTTATTGATGCAAAGAGGGGTATAAATACCCATTACAAGATTTACTAGTAAGGAAAGAAATAAAAACATTATATAATAGACAAAGAAAGGAATAATAAAGAATCCATGCCAATAACTCACAATAAATATAAATTAATAATGGCTAAAACTAACCATTAATAAATATTCTAATAATAATATTGTTAAAATCCCTAATAATTTTCTAAAATCCCACAACTCAAATCCTGCTAATTCAACTTTAATTCAAAAAATAAGAAGATTTGCATGCCACAAACTTCTTATGCATTTACATGTTTAACGTGAACTTCAATTTTTTTATTTTCATTTATAGAATCAATTTGTTTATGCATGATTCATTTTTAAAAGTGTTAATAATAGTTTTTTTAATATGATATGAAAAAATTAAGTGTTATAAATGCAAAAAAAAATATTTTTGATATTAGTTATGTAAATTCATTGTAATTGTGTTGAATGCAAATGAAAAAAAAACCCTAATTTAAAATCTCTTCCTTAATTTAATAGCAAAAAATATGGATAAATATATTTAGTGCTTAAAACTTAGATCCAACGTCTGAACTTCATATTTAATGCCCACAACACCTAAACACTTAAGTAAAAATAAAAATAACAATTCAGTTGAAATCTCTAAACCTATCATTCCACCCGTTGTCGTTTGCTCGCACTAGGGGTGTAAACGAACCAAACACGAATGAACAAAGCTTGTGTTCGTGTTTGGTTCATTTGAAATTTAGTTTGTTTGAAATAAGCTCGTGTTCAAAATTGTTTGTGGAGTCATTGTTCGTGTTCGTTTTTTAATGAACGAGCCGAACACGAGCTGTTTGCGAACGACGAGCCTATTTGACATCCTTAATATTAATATATATAAATATTATATTATATTAATTATATAACTTATACTAATATAATATATTAATATATTATTATTATTATTTTATTATATATTATAATATATAAAATTTAATTTTTTAAAATATCATAATTTTTTTATATATAATTATTTTGAACACGAACGAACGCATCACTGTTCGTGTGGTTCGTTTAACTAACTGAACGAAAAAAATTGTTCACGTTCGTCTCGTTTACTTATCGAACAAATCAGACACGAACTCATTGACGAACCGAATACGAACTGTTCACGAACAACAAGCTTTTTTGACAGCCCTAACTCGCACTGCTTGCAAGCTCATCACATTGCTATTGCAGCTGCTAGTTTCCGCTCTCACTTGTGACCCTATCGGTGTCCCTCGTTTGCGGCCTCGCTAATGCCACCTGCGAACTTGTTGCTTGCTATTGCATGAGTTCAAGAGGTTAAGGGAGGTCTTTTAAGGATAGCTTTTTCATAAAGAGAAGAGGAACTTGTGAGATGGGCATGTTAGGGTTCGCGAGTTTGAATTTTGGTGAGAGAGACAGAGCATGATTGGGAGTAGTTCAGAGTGTGCGCCTGTCGGTTCTTCCTCTCCTAACTCGCCCCAAAATCAGTCGAAGGGGATGGAGATTGGCTAATATCAGCTGGATCTTCCTCTTCTCCTCTCTTGCCCAAACTTGATTGTATAAGAATCCAAACTCTCATCCATCGAGGTATTGTCCGCTTTGGCCTAATGGCCTCATAGTTTTGTTCTATTGGGGTAACTTCCTAGGAGGTCACCAAATGAAGTTTGTTTGCTTTCTCTCCAATGACTCATCTCGCTTGAGTTGTGAATCTTACGTTTTATTTTATATGTCATAAAATCCTTTGTTAGTTGAGGTATGCTTAAGTTTATTTCATTTGACAGGCAATTGCCGCAAGTCTATAATGTCTTTTTGGATGATATATCTTATTGTTGCTAATTAGGATTCTTCGGTTAAATTGTGTTGAATGCCTCTTTCGAGTAAGTAGAATCCACAACAAGTCACGATGATCTAAATATCGGATTTTGAGCAGTTTCATTATCATTCTTTCCACCATTTGCTCTAAAAGAATTTGTAAATTTTTTCAATCTAAATTTAATGAAGTGTTGCTATACGCTAAGCGCTGAACACTTAGTAATCAACCTTAATTGAAGGTTTTTTTACCGTTGAGAAGGGTAATGAACCATAAAGGCCTATGTCTATGAGGAACGTCGAACTAGATTTTAAAATCAAAATTTAAAATAAACATAAAATAAAGACACAATTTTCTTATATTATATTATCGATTAATCTAATTTGTCTTTTGAAAATTTCATCTCAAAAAAAAAAAAAAAAACTTACCCGGGAGAGATGGTGCAGATTTTTGGAGCTCATTGTGTGGCAGGCCTTGATCACAAATTGAGCAATATAATAGGATTTTTTTAGATTTCTTTTTGTTTTTCAGTCACATCAAGGCAGAATTGTTTGACAAATGATCATCAAATGAGTATTCTTAATTGATTTCTCGCGAAATTGTTTGCATTTCATCATTGTCGCTTCATTTGATTGAAACATTTTAAGTATCACATATGAAAGTCAACATGTGGGATTTACCATAAGAAGCTAATCTTATTCTCAGATTGCATATTTATTTATCTTGTCTTTTTTATTAGATGCTAGATTCAGAGTCATTTTCTGATGGACTACTATATATTGCTGCCTGATTTTTTTTCTTTATATGCATTCTTACTTTTCCCTTGAAGGATATTCCTACTTCATTTCAATGGAAGACATATACGTCCAAAATTAATGCTCCTTACTTGATTTTTTAATTATTTAAATATCATTAATTTCGATAATTTTTCTAATACATGGTTTGTCTAACTAATACTCTTATTTTCTTCCAGTTTTAGAAATGAGCATTCTTAATAATTATTTCTTGTTATTTTGCCATAGGACGGCGGCATTTATAGAGATTCCTGGAGGGATCTCTTTGATGTTGTGATTGTTCGTGCTAATAAACCAACCTTCTACACTTCCGAGCATCCCTTCAGGTTTTTACTGGCTATTAAGATGATGGTTTTCTGGCCCTTATGTTTGAAATGCTTCCATGAAATACAAGCTTTTCTTTCCGTGATGGCCGTAAGTGATCAATAGAATGTGCTGCTGTAGTTTAATTTTGCTTGGCAACCAACCTTCTACACTTCCGAGCACCCCTTCAGGTTTTTACTGAGCTATTTAGATGATGGTTTTCTGGCCCTTATGTTTGAAATGCTTCCATGAAATACAAGCTTTTCTTTCCATGATGGCCGTAAGTGATCAATTGAATGTGCTGCTGTAGTTTAATTTTGCTTGGCAACCAACCTTCTACACTTCCGAGCACCCCTTCAGGTTTTTACTGAGCTATTTAGATGATGGTTTTCTGGCCCTTATGTTTGAAATGCTTCAATGAAATACATGCTTTTCTTTCCATGATGTGTGCTGCTGTAGTTTAATTTTGCTTGGCAGAATTCCATCTTCCAGAATCATATATTCAATGGGGCTTTTTAATAATATTGAGAGCTCCCTTTTATTTTTATTTTTTTCATTTTGTGATGTTTTCTTATTGTCTAGTTGGCTCATGCCATTCATATGCTGACATTTCTTTCAGAAAGTCGCTCTTCACCATATGTGCAGCTAGTTTATCTCAAATGGTTTTAAATAGTTAGAATTTGCTTTTTGAGCTAATTGTATGTCAAAATTTTGTGTTGTTTGATTTTTTCTTTGCGGCTTCTTTGGCAGATATTATGATATTGAGAAGGACACGGTAACTTTCAGAGCAGTCGATAGGTTTATACCAGGCCAAGTTTACTATTATGGCTGCTTAAAATCGTTTCGACAAATTACAAAATGGAATGGCCCTGAGGTAAATATGGAAAGTTTTTCTATAGATAAATTTCAATTTATATATATATTATTTTGGATTACTATAGTATTTTTTATTTGTTCTAATAGCTTATTTGAAATTATATATATAATTTAAGGATTATCTTTTTTTTTTCTGTTTAATGTTAAGATTTTAGGACTTATGTAGATTTAAATTTAAAGTTATTTTGATTTTTCCATGTTACTTAAAATGTTTTATTCAATGGTGGTGATTTTATTCTCAATTATGAATAAGAAATGAAAACTTGATCCCTTTCTCTTATAATTGCCATCCATATCTCTCTACTCCTTTTTCCCACGAATTCCTCTCCCTCATGTGAATCACAAAGTCTTAACGTTTACATCCTGTGATTTTTCAGGCTTATTATTGATAGTTTCTATAATCCGGTTAATTTGATGTGATTAATGCTACATGTTGGGTCTTATAATTCACATCTTGTGATTCTTCAGGCCTATTATTAATGGGTTTTATAATTGGGTTAGCCTGAGGTTGAGTAATTGTTTATAGGCTGCATAATTCTTGTTGGAAAGATGCTTATGTCCTACTTCCTGGGCGTTGTAATTATCCTCATCAATTCTAAGAGTTTTATTTTAGTTTTGGTTTTAGGAAAAGATCATCACAAATCTAGGACCGCAACTTCTCTTTTTAATAGGAAATTATTATGTATGTTATCAAGTCTCTCTCTCTTTTTCTCTCTCGCACTTTGAGATTTTAAATGAGCACAATAATACGGACCTTTCGAAACTTTTTCAATATGTTATGTTGGCTTGTAAGAATTTAAAATGTCGGCTGCTTGAAGTAAATTATCCAAAGTTTCCATGTATGTGCCTTGCATTGATGTTACCATAATTAATAGTAGTAATTAGCTTACATATTCCATTGACAAATGAGAGAAGTCTGAATATAATATAATTTTAGGACATATAATTGTTTAAGATCTTCCTTAAAATCAATCTTCCGAAATAATTTTTTCCTAGGGCAGTTGCTAGTTTGGTGTCCTCTCCTTTGGGGAAAATACTATTCTTAATTTCTCCTTTGGCATTTCTGACATTGTAAATAGGATGTGCGTTAACTTTTGCAACATCATTTGATGTTTTAGCCTTATTATTAATGGGTTCTACCTTAGTTACCTTGGTGTTACTAATGGTTGATTTTATAAACGCGTTGAGTCTTTTCATTGATTCCTTCTTTTACCCACGTTAGCTTCTTTTGAGTAATGGTTGATGTTATGAACTCATGTTTTCTCCAGCAGCAGTTTACAAGGTGGCATTATTTTTGCTGGAAAGATGCTTATGTTGTACTTCACAGGCTTGCTTTTGTTATCTTTCTTGTCTTCTCCTAGGTTCAAATTTAATTAATGAAGTCTTAGCTTTAGGACTATGAGTGTCATAAAATCATTTTTATGTGTACATTGTTATTTTTAATGTTATTAATTGTGTGCATTCTTTTCTCTGAAGTAATATATAAGCAAGGACTCTTCGAAACTTTTTTTCCCATTGTTCAGTGGACTCCTTGGAATTTAAACTACAATTTGCTTGACGTATTTTGTCCAAAGTTTCCATGACTATGTTTCATGCATTTACACTACAAACATTTCATAACAGTGATCCGATACTGGATGCCATCTACAATTAGGAGAAATTCAGATATGATGTTGTTGCAGGCATAGTTAATTGAAGCATTTGAGATAATTGAAATCTTCCAAAAGCCCAGTAAGCTCGTTGTATAATATTTGAAACAACCTTGGTTTTTACGCTAATTTTTGTAGGTGATATACTTTGGGGATCATCTTTTTAGTGACCTCAGCGGACCATCAAAGGCTGGCTGGAGAACTGTTGCTATCATACATGAACTAGAGGTATTGTTTTTTAAGATTCTGTTCTCTTAATATAACCTCCAAAGTGTTTCAACAGGTTCATAGTTTCAACTGTGATCATAAAATTTGAACATATGCACCACATATTGATCGACTTGGGTTTAAAAATTGAAAGAACTGACTAATATCGGCAATTATAAGCCGATAGTTCGTCTATTTAAAAAAAAAACAAATGTCTGCAGTGGATGTGAAGAAAGGTGGAGAAAAATGTATTTTCTTATTCATCAATAATTAAATTACAACTCTTCTCCATAACTCTTCTCCTTATATAATATGGAACGGCTAGGGCAAAATTTGTTACAAACTACAACTTACCAAAGAAAATATAACTCAAGAAGGAAAAAAATATGACATAATAAGGTGAGAACAAAACTAACATATGAAACTCAAAATTCTACACCCTCTCTCAAGTTGGGTCATAGATGTTATAATGGCCTACCTTGACATTCAAATCAATGAATAGAAATTTAGCGAAGACATCAATGACTTGAAACTGAGTTGGAATATAAATTAAGTGAGTAATGCCTCTATTGATATTTTCAGAGATAAAATGTCTATAAATCTCAATGGGTTGGTCCTGTCATGAGAAATATTTTTAGACAACAGCTTGGACAAGATTAATAACAACTACAATTTACCAAAGAAAACGTAAATCAAGACTGAAAGAAATATGACATAATAAGAAGAGAATAAAACTAAAATAAGAAACTAAAAATTTCAAACTCTTCCTCAAGTTGGGTCATAGATGTTGTAAAAATCCAACTTGGTATTCAAATCAATGAAGCTACCTGGAGCTAGAAATTTAGTGAAGACATCAAAGACTTGAAGGTGAGCTGAAAGGTAGATGAAGTGAATAATGCTTCCATTGTCATTTTCAGAGAAAAATGTCTATCAATCTCAATATGTATGGTTCTGTCATGTTGCACAAGATTCTTACCAATACTAATTGCGGCTTGCCTATCACTGAACATTTGTATGAAATTGATAATAGAGTGTTTCAACTCGTTTAGCATTTCTTGGATCCATATTCCTTCACAAATTCCCAAAATAAGTGTCTTATACTGATTCTGCACTACTTCTAGAGATCATTGCTTGCCTCATACTCCAAGTGACGAGGTTTCTTCAGACATAGGAACAATACCCAGAAGCAGACCTTCTCTCCTTGAGTTCTCATGCTCGACTAGCATTAGTGTTAACCTCTATCTTCTGGCTGTCTGATTTCTTAAACAACCACCCTCTGCTAGGGGCCTTCTTAAGAAATCTCAATATTCTGTCAACCATCACCAAATGTTTTTCATTCTAAATATTTATCTATTGACTCGCTATGCCGACATAATAAGCAATATTATGTCTAGTTAGTCATAGTAGATAATCTTACTTATTAGTCTCTGGTTTCTACATTTTTTCACTAGTGTCTTTTCTCTCATTGAATGTAACGTTTTGTTGAAATCCATATAATTCTCAGCAGATTTGCATTCCAACATTCCAGCCTCTGTTAGTAGATCTAGGATATACTTTCTTTGGAACATCACAATACCCATTTTGGTCTTGGCCACTTTAATGCCCACAAGGTATCTCATCACTCATAAATCCTTAATTTCAATTTAGTGGCAATGACCTTCTTAATTTTGCCAATCTCTTTTTCATCACCACCCTTTGAGATCATATTTTCTATATCAATAATGAGTATAACCTTCTTATCTCCCTGTTTATGCTTTATGGACGATATATGATTCACTTGACATTGGTTGTACTTATTAGATTTCACAGCCTTGACATACTTGTCAAACCAAATACTTGGAGATTATTTGAGGTCATAAAGTGACTTTCTTAGTTTACAAACTAGATGTTTATTTGAATCATTTTACAATTCTGATGAGATTCCTGTATAAACTTTTTCCTGAAGGCCTACATTCAAAAACACATTATTGATATTAAGTTAATGTAGTTCCCACTCTGTTTATTGCTATGGAAAGAACTCTTACAATTAGGGCTGTAAACAAGTCGAGCTTGAGCAAGCCGAGTCTCGGCTTGTGTTCGACTCATTCCAATTTGACTCGTGTTCAAAATAGCTCGTGTTCGAAATGACCCGTGAACAATGTGTTCATGTTTGACTCAAATAACATATTCCTGTTCGTGTTCGCCAATAATATTGCTGATGGCGGAATAACACCGATAACCCCCGCAATAACACCCGAGTAACACCACACCCAAATAATGTGAGCGTTACTCAGGTGTTATTCTGATATTATAGAATAATACCGTAGAATAACACTAATAATACGAGAATAATACCGCAGAATTGTTATTCCGCGGCATTATTCTCATATTATTGATGTTATTCCTCGAAATATTGAGTATATTATTAATTTATTTATTTCTTTTTGAGCCAATTCGAGCTGAACACGAGGGAACAAATATTTTTTCGTGTTCGACTTGTTCATATTTCGAACTTAAAAACTTATTCGTGTTCGACTCGTTAAGCTTAACGAATGAGCCGAACACAAGCTGCTTAACAAGCCAAACACAAGAGGTTTGCAATGCTTAACAAGCCAAACACAAATTCGTGAACAATGATTCGTTTTGGCAGCCCTACTCACAATGTTTAACTTGGCCACTAAAGCGAAGGTCCCTTGATATTCTATCCCATAAGATTGAGTGAAACCTTTGGCCACAAACCTAGTCTTGAATCTCTTGATGCTTCCATCTATTTTGCACTTGGCATTGAACACCGGTTTGCACCCAATGAGTCTTTTATTTGGAGGAAGCTTTATAAATGTTCATTTGTCATTTAGGTTAAGAGCTTGGATCTCCTCTTCAACTGCTTTTTTCATTCCGGATTTTGTAGTGCTTCATGAATGGACTCAGGTTTCTGCAGACTATCAAAATTAGGTACATAAGCTTTAAAATTTGATGATAACTTCTTATTTGCAACATAATCGTGGATTGGATAATTTTTGCAATTTTTCTGTTTTCTCCATTGGCTTTCAGCTTGGAATCTCTAAGATGTGTGAATTCATGTTTGATTGTGAACAGTTCTGTGGTTGCATATTGTCTTTATCTTGCTGTTGACCTCACTTTTGGCGGAGGTGTAGTTTTTCTCCTCTTTAATAGCTTAGGGTTTAGCCGTAGGACTTCCCTGTCAACTACTCATAGAAAACTAGCAAAGGAGCCCTCCCCGTTAAGAATTCTGAGCTTTTCTTCGCTCAACTTGACGCTCCGCACGGTTCTACCTGGTAAAACCATTCCACTAAGGCTACTGTGAAATTACTGACGCTCCGCACTGTTCCACCTGGCCCACTCCTTCGTGCAGTTGGAGTCTCGTTCCTGCGCTTGCCTTGCGCACGTGGGACGATCCCGCGACCCAACCCTTATCGTATCTCATCCTCTGCCTCTCGCACGGCCGTATGGGGGCGTCTGCTCCTCTCGATCATTCGAATCGTATACGATCTCCTAATCATTCATTCTTCTGTTCTCTGGTCTATATGAGACTTCTGTTGGTGCGTTTCAGGGGGCCGAAAATTTTTAAAGGGAAGTGAAAAATTTGTCATTTTCTTCTCTCATCCTTCTTCTCTAGCTTTTTTAGGCTTGGAGTGGTTTTACCCTTGCTGTTGAGGGAAGATTGAAAGTGGTGAAGTGCTCTTGAAATTGTTTTTTTTGGCTTTTACTTCAAGGAGGTACCTCCTAACCCCCCCTTTGTGCTTTACTCCTTTTCAGTTTTCTCTCTGTCGAATACTTGAGCTTGGTGCTGTGGCTGGTATGACATGCTAGCCTAGTGTTGCACCTATATTTTGAAATATGTGTCACCTCAGCATGTGAAAGATAGAAATGTGAGCATGTTTTAGGAGTTAGATTTGATTACTTGCTTAAAATGGTGAAAGTATAGCATGTTATTGGCTCCTCTCTTTTCTTATTGTTCAAGGCAAATCGGAATTGTTAAAATGTGGCTTTGAGATAATGTTAACTCCTCTCTCAAGCATGTTGGGATATGTATCATGAAACTCCTCATTTGCTCTAATTTAGCATGAGATGTTGGAGAGTTTACTTGGCCCTTCATATATGTTGGGGGCTCGGTTTTGACATCTTATAACTTTCTTTTGCTTAATATGCATTTAAAAACCTATCTTGGCTCCATATACTGATGTTTTAAAGACATGAGGACTTTTCTTTAGCTTTTGGATGGCCCGGTTTTGCCTTGTAATGGCTCGATTTTATTCCGTTTTGATGAATCAGCTTGGGGATTTACATGACCGCGGTTTTGAATGCCTGCAGAGCTATGCCATATTTTGATGTTGAGCTTAGTTTTGGCCCCTGCTGGGCTCGGTTTCACCTTGCTCTAATGGTTTGATTTTGGGTGTCGTTTGGGTCTCACGGTCGGATTTGTGTTGGGCTGCGGTTTTAGCCTTGTGAGGGGTTCTGCTTCGCCTTATGATGACCTATCTTTATTTTGTTTTGAGGGCTTAATTTGGAAAATTATGGGGCTGCAACTTGACACTTACCTGGACCCGATTTTAGTGTGATATGTGACTCGGCTTGGGGCTTGGTATTTGGTCTTAGGGGATATTTGTTTCGAGGCTTATTTTGGGGATTCATTTTCAATGCTTAGTTGCTCCCTACCCGTGAATAGCCTTGGTTTACCTTGTTGTGGAGGCTGCGGTCTCTAGTCTTGGGAGTTTGTTTGGTGGTTTGTGTTGGGCTATGACCCCTGTCTTAGGACCTGACTTGTGCTTTGTGCTGTCATTACCTGACAGCTTGTTGGGGGCCTGTTTTGTGTTTCTTTCTGCTGTCATTACTTGAGAACTTGTTGGGGGCCTTTTTTGTGTCTCTTTCTGCTCTTACCCGAGAGCTTGTTGGGGGCCTATTTTGTGTTTCTTTCTGCTCTTACTCGAGAGCTTGTTGGGGGCCTATTTTGTGTCTTTTTCTGCTCTTACCCGAAGGCTTGTAGTGGAGTTGGTCAATGCTTGTTCTTAGTTCCGCCCATG